TTTGTAAAAGTAATTTTGGCACAAATTGCAATTTTGGGTTTTTACAAGTTTCTATTTAAAAAAAGAAAAGTACACCAAGGGTCAATCGAAAATCATAGGCCAACTAAGAAAAGACAACAAGAGTGCACAGTTGCACACGCTGAAATGTCTCACCTCCTATACTGACCATTGATTTTATGTGGATAGTCCTACACATAAAGTTTTACTACAAGTATCACATTAACATTTATGATCCAAGAAAATGAGGTCAAGGTCAGATAAACCAAGCCAGAAATACATGTACACCTTTAATACAATCATTCCAGATGACCTATTGCTTATAGTATAAAAGAAACAGACCAAACCATGGAAATTCTATATTGACCAATGAACCATGAAAATGATGTCAAGGTCAGATGAACCCTGCCAGACAGACATGTACACCTTAAAATTATTCCATGCTTCAAATATAGTTGACCTATTGCTTATAATATCTAAGAAACAAAGTTAACCAGGAAAACTGAACATTGACCAATGAACCATGAAAATGAGATCAAGGTCAGATGATACCTGCCAGACAGACATATACACCATACAATCATTCCATACACCTAATATAGATGACCTATTGCTTAAAGTTAGTATTAGAAAAACAGACCAAAACACAAAAAATTTACATAAGCACTGAACCATTAAAATGAGGTCAAGGTCAAATAAAACCTGGCAGACTGACATGTACATCGTAAAATATTTCCATACACCAAATATAGTTGACCTTTGGCATACAGTATTAGAAAAACAGACCAAAACACAAAAATTAACATTGAGCAATGAACCATGCAAATGAGGTCAAGGTCAAATAAAACCTGCCAGACTGACATGTACATCGTTAAATATTTCCATACACCAAATATAGTTGACCTTTTGCATACAATATTAGAAAAACAGACAAAAACACAAAAACTTTACATTGAACAATGAACCGTGAAAATGAGGTCAATGTCAAATAAAACCTGCCAGGCTGACATGTACATCTTAAAATATTTCCATACACCAAATATAGTTGACCTATTGTATACAGTATTAAAAAACAGACCAAAACACAAAAACTAAACTTTTACTACTGAACCATGAAAATGAGGTCAAGGTCAAATGACACCTGCCAGTTGGACATGTATACCTTACAAACATTACACACACCAAATATAGTAGACCTATTGCTTATAGTATCTGAGATATGGACTTGACCACGAAAACTTAACCTTGTTCACTGATCCATGAAATGAAGTCGAGGTCAAGTAAAAACTGTCTGACAGGCATGAGGACCTTGCAAGGTACAAACATACCAAATATAGTTATCATATTACTCACAAGAGAGAAATTAACATTACAAAAAATCTTAACTTTTTTTTCAAGTAGTCACTGAACCATGAAAATGAGGTTAAGGACAATGGACATATGACAGACGGGAACTTCATATCATAAGGCATTTATATACAAAGTATGAAGGATCCAGGTCTTATACCTTCAGAAATATTAAGCTTCTAAGAAGTTAGTTAACACCGCCGGATCACTATTCCTATGTCAAGCTTTCTGCGACAAAAATCGCAGGCTTGACAAAAAAACTATTAAAAAATGGAAAAAATTGTCTTTCAAGGGTAAAAACTCCTATCAGGGTTTAATCAACGATTTCAGCCATGTTGGCCTATTTGTGGTCTTACTTTGCTGAACATTTTTGCCTTGTTAAGTTTCTCTATTTATCATAATTTTTTAATCAAAGCATCGTCGGTGCCATTTTTAGCTACAGTTAGTCAGACTTTTTTTTTCTCATTTTCAATATTTTTTCTTTATTTAAGCTTCTGTAAGACATATATATAGAGACAACCATCACAACTTTGGAAAATTGATTTTAGTCCAAAATGTTTTAACTTGTGTGTTTAAACACGTTTAACAGAAACCCAAGGGACTGAATAAAAACAGACAACACAAGGATTGAAATATAGAAAGTGTCATCATTTTCAATATTATCCACAAAAAATTACCAGTGTTATTTTTTTCTTTTAAAATCACCTCTTTCAGCTCATGAATTTTTGAGAAAAAAATGTACTTCTTCTAAGGTACTTCTGACAATCAAGGTAGTCGAAATCACTGAAGGAATGACTGGAAGAGTGGTATTTTCAGGTATTGTGGTGAACAAAAAAAAATTTGATATATCACTCTTGCATTAAATTCAAAAAGACAATTAGGTTTTTTTTCAGTTGATGAAACTAGCTCGTCTCCCTAAATTTACTTGTTAACCTAATGGTTGCGTTTGGCAGTTTTTCTATGTTTAAACATTGGTATGCAATTTTTCTAACTCATGTTAGAATCACATATTTCATTTTTATGATATTACTCAAAGACTGTATTCAATTGCCCAAAGAAGGAGAATTTCTCTATATTGATACAAATTCTTTTCATATTTTAATTTTTAGGAGAGAAACTGATTCTTAATATTTTCTTTTTTTGAAGGATATGTATAGTCACTATACAAATCCTTGTTTTTTTTTCATTTAAATAATTTTAACATGATTTGACATTTTGTAGCATGGCTGAATCAAAAATTTAATAAAAATAGACTTTCAAGGACAATAACTTCTATAAGGGATCATTTAACAAATTCGGTCCTCAGTTTTATTGGTAGATCTTACTTTGCTGAACATTTTTTGCTGTTGTTCTATAATGGTTACAAGATAATAACCAAAAGGTGAGAAATTTGAAAAACTGTCTGAGGCAATAACTCAAAATTAGGTTGTCTTATTCGTCTGAAAATAGACCTTGATCTGCTGATCATTCCTATCCTTGTCAGTTTTGTTCTTACTGAATTAGTTTTTGAGATATAAGCCAAAAACTGCATTTTATCCCATGTTCTTTTTTTAGCCATGGCGGCCATGTTTGTTGACTGACCAGAATAAAAAAAACACAAACTTAATACTAGATACCATAAGGATCATTCACCCTAAGTTAAGTTGAAATGGGTTTAATAGTTTCAGAGTAGACGATCTTTAAAAAGGTTTATAACAACAGGTGACTACAACAGATGCAAATGATGGCAATAGCTCACATTGACCCTGAAAGCTAAAAATGTAAAAGATAAGACAGAATTTCTTGTTCTTGATTTTCAATTTTCATATTTTAGATGGTAATGTTCTGATAGTCCTTAGTCTTTTTTTTTAGCTAAAATCCTTCTTTATACATGTGTCTATGTCAAAGCATAATCTGTAGGAACTGAAAACATATGCTTAATGATAGGAATTAAACTGAAAAATGTATAGGTATAAATATACTTTACAGTAAATCCTTAATGTATCTGTAACATATAGATGCAACTTTAGAGCTAATGCAAAGCAATTTCCGATAAAATTTGTATTTCCAAGGGGCATAACTCTTTTAAAATATTTGATCGGCACCGATTTTCAAAATTGTCCAAGACATTGCTGATATAAACCTTTGATATAAATTTGATAACAATCTGGCATCAAAGACGAAAGTGATTGGAAAATCATGGAAAGATTGCAAGAGTAGTTTCAATAATTTCAAATTATATTTAGGTATGGTGTGGTAAAAAAAGAACATTATTATATAGCACTATTGCTGCCAATTGCATTAACTGCAGGTCTTTATTAGAATAAGCACTTTTTCAGAAGATAAAATGAGCTAAATCTGAATCAATGATAGCTGGTCCCTTAATTTGCAATTTCATATCTTAACCAATTAATCTTCCCTGTTACATGTTTCATCTTAAGAAACAGAAGAAATTACCAAATAAAGTAGGTATACTATTTTTCTCCTCTAAGTATTGCTTATTGATTTTGAAAACAATTATCATGATTATATGACACTGAAGATTAACTTGTTGGAAACATTGCTGATATAAACCTAAGATATAAGTTTCATAAAAATCTGGCAAGAATTGTACACATGAGAGCGCTAACAATGAAATTTTCCATAAAATTGATATTTCCAAGGGGCATAACTCTTTAAAAAAATGTTGTTTGGCACTGATTGTCAATCTTGTCAAGAGAAATTGCAGAAATAAACCTATGATATAAGTTTCATTAACATCTGGCAAGAATTGTACACATGAGAGCCCTATAGCTAACAATGCAATTTTCCATTTCATTAACATTTCCAAGAGGCATAACTCTCTATAAATTGTTGATCAGCACTGATTTTCGAACTTGTCCAAGAAATTGCTGATATAAACCTATGATATAAGTTTCATAAAAATCTGGCAAAATTCTTGCACACGAGAGCCCTAACAGTACAATTTTTCATATGATTAATATTTCCAAGGGGCACAACTCTTTTAATAAACAGCTGCGCCATGAGCGCATGATATGCCCGTCCTGTTTTCAAAGAATACAGTTCATCCCATTACTTGGAAACATAAAATCTAAAATTTATAAAAATCGAAAGGGAGCTTACATTGATAGATATAAACAATTCACCAAAGTTTCATGCAAATTGGTGAAAGTGTTTTTGAGTTATTGTCCGAAAACTGGAAAATCTCCCTTTTTTAATGAATAAAACCCCATAACTTGGAAACGTAAAATCTAAAATTTATAAAAAACGAAAGGGAGCTCACTTCAATAAATATAAACAATTCACCAAAGTTTCATGCAAATTGGTTAAAGCGTTTTTGAGTTATTGTCTGACATGTTGACGACGGATGGACAGACAGACGGATGGACAACGGTATACCATAATACGTCCCGTAAACGGGTGTATAAAAATTGTTGATTGGCACTGATTTTCAACCTTGTCCGAGACAATACTGATATAAACCTATGATATAAGTTTAATAAAAATGTGTGCACAAAAAAATCTCTCCTATTGCTTATCTAGACCTTATGCCTAAAAATCAAACACACAATAAAATACATGCACAGTCCACTGACTTATCTTGTGTTATTTCATACGACTTGAGTTTGTTTTTACCTGCTATTTAATAGTAAATTTTCATAAAAGTGAATATGACATTACGAATATCAACATTTTATTCTCATAATTATAACTGTTACAGAGAAATTTATAATAATGCCTATGTTAACATTAATGATTACAATTAATTTTCATAACAATTTTTGAATCGTTATTTAACAAAATAATATCTTTCCATGAGGGACAACCTTTAGAAATACAATTTTTAATCAATCTTATTAATTTTTAAAATACAACAATGTCAGCTGATGAGAATCTCTAGTTTCATTTTTAGAGTCTGCAATTTTCTGGCAATATAGCTGTAACAAATGTGTTCCCTCAGTGCTAAAAATGTTACAAATTCAAATTATGTGGTACTCATCACATATTTGATTTTAGTCAAACAGGTTACAGATCCTTGCCTGTCTTTGTATTTCTGGCTTAAAAGGAGAAAATATGACTATAAAAATATAACTCATAAAACATACTAAGATACAAATATAAAAATAATACTGGCCATAACTTTCTTTAAAACTGCAATTTAAATGGAGTATCAAATGATGAGGTAATTGTCAACAAATTTCTATACATATACTAATTGACAGAATAGCTAAAACATTACAAAAACATTTAAATAGGTTTATTTACATTTATACACTCAGGACAAATTAAAATCAGTTATAAAATGATTTCCCCTACAGCTGATATTTAAAGTTTTACATGTACAATCTTACACAATGGGTGTTCTTCCTCCAATCACAATCATCAAGTTTATACAATGGTCTCAACAGTGCTTTATAAATTATTTTCACACTGTGGTAGCTACAAAATGCTTTATAAATTAATTTCATACACTGAAGTGTTGAGGGTTTTTTCAGACATCTTATTTTGATAATTTCTTCTTTTCAATACATGACATATACAGAGAAAGTGAATGTTAACTTTGAAAGCATTAACCATTTAATCATTAATGTTTATATTCAAATATTTATATCTTCATATAAATGAAATCCGAAATGAATCCTGTATTTTATAGACAGCAACAGTGAAACTATTGGGTAAAGAGGAATTTTGGTCTTTGTTTGAATCTCTTGGTATTTCTAACAAGAACTTTATCAGAAGATTTACTACTGAAGGTTTTAAATCTTCTATTCGACTACAGTAAAAGTAGCTAGTATAAAACACTATGTACAAAATTTTAAAACATCAGCTTAATCTAAAATACTGACAAAAGAATAGCTGCCAGACTGACAAGTAACTACATCAATAATTTATATTTTATAATATTCAGACTTATTTGTTCTTCATTTTTTTAGCATAAACATTAAAGTCTTCTTCTGTAAGTTTATACCCCCAATGTTGTAATGTCTGTCTGACAACTGGCGACACACCATGGTTATCGTAGCCACACCCACTTCTGACACATTTAGAAATCAGATTGTTTCTCCAACGCCCTGTTGTTCCTGCACACCTCAACCATCTTCCAATCTGTCGCTCATCATCAGCAGTTCTTCTGCCCTGGTAAAATCTACAAGTTGAAATTTTGCTCATTATCATTTTTTTTACAAAATGCATACAGAATAAAAAACTATTTTAGAACAATAATAATATGTTAATGCAATTATAACCTTGTAACAATACAATACTTCTGGTGATTTTTAAACACTTGTTTTTAATTTGTTCCAAGGATAATAAATTAAAAAGGTCAATACTCTAATCAAATACTTCATCTTTATAAGAACAACAGTTCTTTATGGTCTCATATAAAAATAAGAAGATGTGGTATAATTGCCAATGAGACAACTCTCCACAAGAGACCAAATGACATAAAAATTAACAAATATAGGTAACCGTACAGCCTTCAACAATGAGCAAAACCCATACAGCATAGACAGCTATAAAAGGCCCCGAAGTCACAAATGTAAAACAATTCAAAATACATACAGAATGTGACGGGATTAAACTAGTTTGAAAGTGATAACCCTTCCCTAACCTGGAACAGGGGTGTAACAGTACAACATAAGAACAAACTATAAAAATCATAGTACACTTCATTATTGATCATATCACCCTTCATCTTATTTGGTTCACATGTGATGTAATACCTGACACCTTTTCACAGTGGGCCAATTTGCTTCCAATTAGTTGATGACTGTCTGCAAATAATTCAACTCAAATGGTGCTTGAGGCCATCTTGAACTTACGGTAAAGTGTGAGCTTTTGCTTCATGTTGAAGGCCATATTGTGACTTTGAGATGAAGAACAACAATAAAAGTGTTATTTTTTTTGGTTTTATTTAGTGTTAGAATAAATACTCATGAGTCATCATTTATATATCTGTAAATCAGTTTAAACATGCATCTATGGCTCTTAATTGCATGCAGTACACTTTGGGAGTTTGGTTTGTTTTGTACCAATTTTTACCTATTTTGTGGTTCCATGTACACATGTACAATGAAAATATTTTCCATTAAGATGAAGAATAAAAAATTATGGGTATTTCCAATTTTTAGGTAATTTTGTATGCATTTACATCTTGTTAAACAGGTATCTCCATTTTATCATATGAGAAAATTCCTTTTCCTATCAAATTTTTAGTTTTTCAATGTTTACAACTCAAAATTAAGCATATTTTCTTTATTTTCAATTATAATTTTGATTTATTACACATATATTAAATAGACATCTTTTCATAAAAATCTTATTCAAATTCCAGCCGCTAACATCCTAAATAAACAAGCAAATAAAATATTGAGATAAATCGGGAATTGGTTACAGACAGCAAAATATCCTGAAAAAGACAAATTTTGACTATCCTTTAAACCACATACCTACAATACCACTGGAACCAGCCATAAGGATCTTGTTTATGCATCCAACCACTCTCTTCCCACATTTCCAAACTGCCACCACATTTCACTTTATATGTGTTAACATTTTCATGGTAGGGACCTGATGCCACCTTAAATAAATAGTACATGTACTCAAATCAAATTAAGAAATAATTCTTTCAAGCCATGCTCTATGCTCATTTTAACATGGTAAGGCATTATATATGTCAATATCTTTACACCGGGCGTTAGCGAGGTGTAAAATATTGACAAATATAATGCCTACCCATGTTAAAATTAGCACAGAGCATAGCATGATAGAATGATTTCGATTCTGATAGGAAAATTTAGTACTTTTGTATTTCGAAGCGGAGCTATAATACACATTCCAAAGGCAGCCATGTTGATTTGATGAACCAACAAGAATGTGTCCATAGTACTAGGATGCCCCACTCGCACTATCATTTTCTATGTTCAGTTGACCGTGAAATTGGGGTCAAAACTCTTAATTTGGCATTAAAATTAGATAGATCATATCATAGGGAACATGTGTACTAAGTTTCAAGTTGATTGGACTTCAACTTCATCAAAAACTACCTTGACCATAAACTTTAACCTGAAGCAAGACAGACGGACGAACGGACCACAGACCAAAAAACATAATGCCCCTAGGTGGGGCATAAAAACGTTACAGAAAATCAACAGTTGAATGATAAAAAGATTAACATATATATGTAAACTTATTTTTAGAATGATTTTATTTAATTTCCTAGCAAAAATGTCCATTTCGATCTCCTGCGTTGTTCAAAATACAACTGATGTGGCAATTTCAATTGTGACGTCAATCACATGCAGCCCATGTTTTATTGTAATTAGATCATTGTTTCCAAAGTGAAAGAAGAACGTCATAATAGAATAACTATTATAGTGGTTCCCCTAGATATTAGGAGGGATTATTTCACTGTAGCAGCTCCCTCTGCCCTTAATTTTCATCCAAATCTTATGTAAATCCATTGTAATTTGTCAGTTTATCTTTCTACCTTCTGCAATGTCCCAGGTACTTTCCAGAAGCCTGTGGGAATCACAAGATTAAATGATTCACTGGGGTCTGCATTAATAAGCCACCATTAGAGATAACAAAAAATATGTTAGATAACTGCTTTATACAACCTTAAAATATACACACAAAAGCATAGACAAAAATGATAAATTAACTTTAAGGAAGTAGCTGAAGTGAATTTAATCACAAAGGTATCAACAGGTTTTAAAAAATGTTTAAAAAATACTTTTATAATTGATTTGTTTATATTTCATACGTTTTGGATTTGGCTACTTGAAAAAAAAAACACCAGTATTATACTTTCGGTACCAAATCCAAGTGTATACATAAATGTATATATATGTACCGGTAAGTAATACATATCATAATAATCAACCGTAAGCATTATAAAACTCTATGGTTCGTATCTGCTCATGAAAATCAATTGTTTTAAAGTAGATAGCATATATAAATGGATTGAAGACTTAAAAGCAAGAAAGGTAAAATACAAGAAAATATAAGAAATTAGGCAAAAACTTGACTGTTACCCTTATGTTCTATTTAACACATGTATAAGTAGGTTGGCAAGGACAAACACAGAACCTTATGGTATCATTCAAGCCAAGTTTGGTTGAAATTGGTCCAGTGGTATCAATGGATGAGTGAGTTATATTTAAAAAGTTAAATGACTGTAAAGGACAATGTCAGATGACGATGATTAATGTCATGATTTTGCAGCAAAAGCTCACATGGCTCATTGAGTAAGTTGAGAAGGTAAAGAGGGACGAAAGAACCTTTTTGCAGACATCATTGATTGGGCCTTTATTTTAGCGGGAATTTGGGATTTACAATTATCAGGACTCTGGAATTAATTATCAATTTTAAGGGATCTGGTAAAGAATGCGGGATTCAGCATTTATTTTACCTGGAATTTGAGATGACGACCAAACCTACCCCCCCAGCTCTTTCATTAAAAAGATAAGATGTGTTTAACTTCATCCTGTACTACCTGTCTTGGTATATTTAATCCTTCCAGCCAGTCTTTTGGTAGTTCTTTCCATTCTCCTGAGTAACTTTTTCCTGTGAATATGGAATATAAAATGTTTAATTATATACATTCTATTTAATTTTAAAAGTAATAAATTCAAATGAAATCTACAAAGGACATCTATACAAAGGCTCTGTCTACATAGTTATTTGTTTGATTTGAACTAAGGAATGATGTAAAAAAAAAGGAAAACTAGACACCTTGGCCATTTACCATGATTACTTGTATGGAGCTTATATGAGATTTCATATACATTGTTCAAACAAATTGTTTTTTGAAGGTTTTTTGTTTTTCTTTCCTTCAAAAGTGATGCAGTTGTCTTCAGTTTTAACACATTATATGGTTGCATTTTGATGAGCAGATGAGGCCTCAAATTTCCATTTGGGTTTAATTTTCCTCCACATTTCTCATCAGAGCTTCCAAAAATTTATTAGCCTGAAAAAAGTGAGTGAGTGAGCCAGACATTTTTTTTTACGGGTAAGGAATTTGGTCCAAACACCTGGAAACAGTTAACTTACAGTGATGTCTTTGAAATGAGGATCATTGAAAGACTTAAGTGTGCTATACTATTTATTAAGTGCATTGAAATAACCTGTAACTGATGACTTTATTGGTCTGAAATATGAGCCACCAAAACTTCCAGCTTGAAGAACTTCTTTGGGAGTCATATTTGGTCGTAGTTCTGGAACATCTTCAAAAACGAGTTCCCCTTTTTTATTACGAGTTGGTAACTTTGCAGTGAATTCAATGCTCTGAAATGTATTCATTATTGGGGATTTATATATTACTCTTGATATATTTAAGACATTTAGGTGTGTGGGTGTAGACTTATCAGCAAATAAAAAAGTAATACAAACAAGCAGAAATTTCATTAAGAGACAATATCCTTTTCATTTTTGTTGCTTATATATCTGTTCACCGTGTTGACATATTCAGTACAAAAGATACACATAAAGTAATAGAATGAAGTCACATAAAAAAATAATATTTCTCTAATTCTTAACCAATTTATCCTTTTCCTGACTTGCTGATTATTTTTATTTAATCAACATGTGGTTTGTTTGATCTTAGTTCTTCATTAGTCAATTACATGTATGATGTCAAATTTTCTTGCTTTCCTCTTAATTTCCTATCTGACGCCACGAAAAAAGGGGACCATGCCTGATGATGTTACACATCTATTTGCAGATCATTGGAAAAGAAGGATTAAGTTTGTCTGCATATTGTCTAAAATTCATTAGAGAAAAAGATTTTACCACCAAATCTCATGCAATACGATATTTCTCCCCTAGACAGTAAAAAAACCTTGCATTTTAAATTTGAAAAATTTGATTGGAAAATATTGTATCACACATGATGCAATTGTAGAATCTCTATATCAGTATATATATAACCTATAAATTAATTCTGTAGTGTGTGCTGCGAATTTAAACTTATGTCAATAGTAAAGGCTGAGATAGTTGATGCAAGGGGCATTTTAATTTTACTGTAAGGTATAAGCACTTTAGCTCGTTCCTTAGGACCTTCAAATAAAATAAATAATAATTCCCAATTCACCTTAATTTTCTAGTCAAGTATTCCTGAACACAACTTGGATATATTGAGCAATGTGTTTCTTCTTCCAAATACAGCCCACATTCAACATGATAAATATTCTGATGTTTATCACTATGTTTGCAATTATTGTGTAAAAATATTAGTTATTGCTGTTGTTCTTTTGTTGGAAAACTAATGAAATTGTGGCAAACCAGAAAATATGTTTGAGGCACATCTTGGCTTCCGAAAACTTTAAATTTTTAATAAAAAAAAAAATATTTGTATAAGTAAATTTTTATTGAAGTGTAAGGGGAGATTATTCAAACTTAAAAAAGAATTTAAAACTGACACAAGTATTACTTACATCTTCAAGTAAATAAAAGAAAAGCGTTAACCCTGACTGAATTATCTATGCTTCTGAAAAAACAGTGGGAGTTTCTCAGCCACAAAAAATATTACAGTGAGTCTCTCCCTTAAAACACTTTTGGTACGAAATGTATGTGTATATGGTAGTATTATTAGTATACAATGTATATACATGTAGATAGTCATGTACATGTATGTTATAGAGTAATCTTAACACAGTTTGCCAGATGTTTGCCAAAGGTCCATGGTTTACCTCAATTATTTTAGTTTCCTCTAACTGTTAATTTTAAGCATATTTTTTGGTTTCAGTGTAAAACTATGAATTCTAAGGGACCTTCATTTTATAAAAATTGATAGCCCTGAGCATGATGAGATGACAAACATATATATAGACTTTCTGTACATTTGTAGAAACTTCATCAACGTAAAAAGACTATAAATCATATTAGTTTTTCACTATTTACTTGAGAAACTTCAATGATTTTTGGCCTATGATGTCATCGCATTCTCACTCTACTTAAATGAGAGAATAAATCTCAAAATAGTTTTAGATGGAATAAAATGCTTCGCTGGGGCGCAGCTTGATACGACCGCAGAGGTCGAACCCTGAACAGTTGGGGCAAGTATGGACACAACATTCAAGCTTGATACAGCTCTGAATTTGGATTGTTATTAAATATTTGACACAGCATAGGTTTCTGACACAGAAAGAATGTGGTCTAAGAACTTGAATTTTTTTAATTTACCTATTATGGTCCAATGTCCAAAATCAAAATACATGGTTAGATTCAGCATATCAAAGAACCCCATATATTCAATTTTTGTTAAAATCAAACAAAGTTTAATTTTGGACCCCAACTTGGACAAACTTGAAAACTGGGCCCATAATCAAAAATCTAAACACATGTTTAGATTCAGCATATCAAAGAACCCCAAGAATTCAATTTTTGCTAAAATCAAACTAAGTTTAATTTTGGACCCTTTGGACCTTAATGTAGACCAATTTAAAAAACGGGACTTAAAATTAAAAATCTAAATACACGGTTAGATTGGGAATATCAAAGAACCCCAATAATTCAATTTTAGATGAAATCAAACAAAGTTTAATTTTGGACCCTTTTGACCTCAATATGAACCAATTAGATAACGGGGTCCACAAATAAAAAATCTAAATACATGGTTAGATTCAGCATATCAAAGAACCCCATATATTCAAGTTTTGTTGAAATCAAACAAAGTTTAATTTTGGACCCCAATTTGGACCAACTTGAAAACTGGGCCAAAAATCAAAAATCTAAATACATGTTTAGATTCAGCATATCAAAGAACCTCATATATTCAATTTTTGCTAAAATCAAACAAAGTTTAATTTTGGACCCTTTGGACATTAATGTAGACCAATTTGAAAACTGGACCCAAAATTAAAAATCTAAATACACTGTTAGATTGGGCATAACAAATAAATAAATGTGATCAAAGATTTTACAAATCTAATGCGTCATACTGTGCATTTAAAGATTACTTCTTGAAATTTTTCAATATTTGAAATTTGAAAAAAAATAATATTTGAAGAATAATTCTTTTTAATTTCTGAAATCTGAAATGAGAAAAAATTGGCCCCCCACAATTTCTTTTTATCCCCCCCCCCCCCTTTTTCCCCCAAAAAAATTCTTTCCCTCAAGATATGGTCATAATCTCAATTCAAATTTACAATGGAGTTGGCAACCATAATTACCCATTTAAATTTACCATAGTGCTAACTTAATCTATTTTATAATAGAATTAATAAAAATATAGTGTCAAATCTTTCATATGGATTTTTTTGTAAAAAAAAAAGATGAAAACATTTGCAGATATTTTTACTGGTCTTCCTTTATAAATATGCATTTCTTTAAACATAATTTAAAAGCAGTGTAAGGGAAGTAACCAAAACGTTGTATTTGGATTACCTCCCTTACACTGTTTTAGATTATCTTTATTGTTCATTAACCATTACTTTATACATAATTTAAAAGCAGTATAAGGGAGATAATTTCAATGATGTATATGATTTATCTCCCTTACACTGCTTTGAATTATGTTTTGTACTAAAGTATTTGTCCATTAACCAGGACAACCTTGTTTTTCCCCCTTTTTTGCCCCTAATTCCTAAACGATTTGAGCCATAACCCCCCAAAGCAAATCCTAACCATCCCTTTGTGGTATGGAAACTTGTAGTATAATTTCAGAGAGATCCATACACCGTTCCACAGTTATTGTCTGGAAACTAGAAAATGCTCATTTTTGGCCCCTTTTTGGCCCCTAATTCCTTAACTGTTGGTACCATAAACCCCAAAATCAATCCCAACCTTCCTTTTGTGGTATTTAACCTTATGGTCAAATTTCAAAAAGATCCATTCACTTAAACTAAAGTTAGAGTGCGAAAACCAATATGTATTCGGACGACGACGCCGGACGACGCCGACGACGCCGGACGACGACGACGACGACGACGCCAACGTCATACCAATATACGACCACAAAATTTTTTTGCGGTCGTATAAAAATATCACACAGAAAAATCGAAAAAAAATACATATAGTGATAATAACCTTTTCTACATTTGTAGCTTCATCAATATGTTTGGGATAGTTTTTCTTTTTAGATGAAGATTCCGTTTTGTTTAAAGGTACTTTTTCTTTACTGTTTTTCTTAGTTGTTTTCTTCAATTTACTCTTTGTAACTGATTCAGGTTCTTCTCCGTGTTTCCTTTTTGGCATCTTTGTTATGCAGTTTATAAACTAAAATGGATAAAGGAAATAAATAATAAAATGCTTCGCTGAGCGCAGCCTGATACGACCGCAGAGGTCGAACCCTGAACAGTGGGGGCAAATTTGGACACAATATTCAAGCTTGATACTGTCTGAATTTGGTTTGTAATCAAATTTTTGACATAATATAGGTTTCTGACACAAATTAATGTGGTCAAAGATCTTATTAATCCACTGCGCAATACTGTGCAATTGAAGATTTCTTCTTGAAACTTTTCAAAAATTCGAAATTTTAAAAATTTTGAAAAAAAAATATGAATCCCTTAAAAAAAATTGGGAAAAAATCCCCCCCCCCCCCAACTTTTTGAACCCCCCTTGGAGCAATAACCCCAAAACTCAATCCCAGCCTTTCCTTTGTAGCATGGAACCTTGTAGTACAATTTCAGAGAGATCCATACACTTACACACAAGTTATTGTCTGGAAACTAGAAAAATGCTTGTTTTTGGCCCTTAATTCCTACATGTTTGGGGCAATTAACCCCAAACTCAATCCCAGCCTTCCCTTTGTTATATGGAACCTTGTAGTACAATGTCAGAGAGATCCATACACTTACACATAAGTTATTGTCTGGAAACTAGAAAAATGCTTGTTTTGGCCCCTTTTTGGCCCTTAATTTCTAAACTGTTGGCCCCATAACCCCTAAAGTGAATCCCAGCCTTCTACTTGTGGTATTAAACATTGTGGTACAATTTCAGAGCAATCGAAATACTTATACACAAGTTATTATCCTGAAACTAGAAAAATGCTTGTTTTGGGCCCCTCTTTGGGCCCCTAATTCCTAAACGGTTGGGACCATCATCCCCAAAATCAATCCCAACCTTCCTTTTGTGGTATTGAACCTTCTTAAAAAATTTCATAAAGATCCATTCACTTAAACTAAAGTTATTGTCCGGAAACCAATGTGTCTTCGGACGACGACGCAGACGACGACGACATCATACTATTATACGATCCCAAAAAAATTTTTGCGGTCGTATAAAAATTACACAAGCATTCTTCTCCATGCTTGAGGTGAACTTGTACTATGCTTGTGTCTTTTTACAGTTATGGAATATATATATTTATTCCTGAAATAACTTCTCCTTTTAGTGCTTCTCCATTTTCCCACTATCATCCAGTTTGATTGTTGAAATATAAATGCAGTCAACCTGAAATAACTGCTTTGTTTTGTCAATTATTTAATTTTTTTCAATTACTGGAACCAAGGATTTGTATAGTAACTATACAAATCCTTGCTGGAACAAATTTTATTCCAGTATTGTAAACAAGAATTGTAGACAATCCTGGTATTCCAGTATTGTACTGTATACAAGAATTGTAGAAAAGTATTGTAGACAATCCTGGTATTCCAGTATTGTAAACAAGAATTGTAGAAAAGTATTGTAGACAACCCTGGTAATTTCCAGTATTCCTATTGCAAAGTACAGGGGACAATTGTCTTCTGGTCGCTAATATCATGAATAAGCCAGGCCTAAAAAAAATGTTTGTTTAGGGTAATCTGACCATACCTAGTAGTGCCTATTCTAGCTAGTTAATTGGCTTTCATTCTTAACAAGCACTGTTTAAGTCAGGACCTTTCTCAGGTATATATCTTAATGCGGGGGGGGGGGGGGGGGGGGGGGGGGGGTAGGATGGGTCCTGATCCCGAAATCCCGGGTTTAAAAACCTGGAATCCTGAGGTCCCGAACTTAAAAAAACTTTAATCCCGACATCCCGAAATTCGAAAAAAGAATTCCTGGATCCCATGTTAACTTAACCCTTCCTATCTTTTTTCAGTTAATTGCACTACATGTTATAAGTCGTTGAAAGAGTCCAGATTGCCTAAACTGATTTTAACGCACAGTATTAACACCTGTGAAACCAAGGTCTCTTTCACTTTTCAGTATTAACACCTGTGAAACCAAGGTCTCTTTCATTTTCTGTGAAATTAAAAAAAAATGTGGTAAAAAGACTAAGATTTTGTTCAAAAACCACAAATATAATTTGAGAAACATTTTAATGCAAAAATTTCGAATTTCAACCTGTCAAGGGTCTAACTTAAATAAGTTATTAGAGAAAAATAACATACATTTGATATTGAGGGCTAAAAAATTAAATATCTGTGATAACATATGTATGCTACATGTTTCAAAGGGACATTATACATCCTTTATTTTGTTAAATTGTGTACTAGTTCTATTGATATTATAATTGTCTTTATGTATGTTAAACTTTAGAAAGATATAACAGCCCATAGCTTGCCAATCATGCATAACACACCCATGTTATTACAGAAAAAATATGCCTGTAATAACTAAAGGGTGTTATTACAGCTTCTCTACATCTCTTCAAAGCCTTTTCTCCTACATATACAATGTATCACAATGTATTTTAATTTATTGTATTAAATAATGATAATAGCATGTAATGAGGTTCTGCGCAAGCTTCCTAGTCATTCCCAAGTGTCTCATGTAATAAGTTAAATGCCTGTAATAACTAAGCCTGGTTATTACAGCTAAGTTTATAATATCTCTTAAAAGCCTTGTCTCATTGATTTACCATGGTTGATCAAAAATGTATTAATTGAATTGGAAAATTAGTTTTCAAGGTTATGTATTAAGTTACTGCGCAAGTTTCAAGAATTCCCAAGTGCCCACTGAAAATAAAAAAATTTATGGTACATTTAACTGATAACAAACATATGTTACTACAGATTAAGAGAAAGTATCTGTAATAACACATGTATGTTATTTTTTTCTAATAACTTATTCAAGTTACACCCTTGACTGCATATATGTCTAGAAATGTGTCCTAAAATCAACATATCAGAATTTGTAACTGCTACAGGAGAATGGTTACACTGGTGACAACAGTAGCATTCACCATTTTAAGTTTTTTATATATGTAAGGTACAGAGTTTGGTTACATTCTCTTTTTACAGGCGTTTTTTTTTTCTCACTTTGAATTAAAATCTAGAAATTTCTGAGTTACATTGGTTACATACACTTTCAATATTTTTTTGAAGTATTATTAAAATAGATTCCCAATGACAAAAAAATGTTTTTTGACAATTAACCGTAAAAAAATTGTACTAATAAAAAATTTACAAATTTCTGATCTAGGTTTTCATTAGTCCAAATAATTATGACGTCTTGCAAGGCTATTTAATTTTTTTCTGTGACTAGAAATTGAAATGTATTTTACCAAATTTCTGCAGACAACAATACATGAACCATAAAGCATGCATGTATCTGAAATAAATTGAAAAATGTTCAGTTTCAATTAATATATAAATTTATGTTTACCCTGGATAAATTCTTTTTAAAATAAGGTAAGCTTCGGTAAGCGGGAGAGGTTGCGTAACCAAACATGTGCCGGATGTAAACATCACCACATACATCATTGAAAATAGTAAAGTAAACAAATAATTTTAAAAACTTATTGAACATGTAACTTGAAATATTAGTATAATGATAATGAGAGCATTTAGTTTACCAGGTGTGTTTTATAAAGTATTTTATTTTTTTACGAGAATAATAGGATCCTCTGTCATATCCAAAATGGTAATTTCGTCCCAAAAATCAGTTTGGACCCGGAAGCAGTAAACTCGTCCCCATAAACTCGCCAACCAACCCGCCCCAACTTTGAAAATAACTCCCAATAACTTATCCCACTGAAACAAAACATACAAACTCATCCACCTATATTATAGACAAAAGACTATATTTATTTGCACAAACACAAACACATTTTATATTATGTACATTAAATTGTTATGGCATACAGTATAGAACAATTGAAACAATAAACTGACAATAATTAAATTAGAGTGACAGCTAGTGGTATTCATACGAAAAGAAGACTACAAATATGTTTGTATTGACAGTTAAACAATTATTAATGTCCATGAACAAAAAAGGATACATATAAAAAAATGAAAATTATACAGATGTTCTCAATAAAAGACAATCATTAATATATTTTGTGGTGATTTTTATAATGACTGGCAAACTGCTATTCAAAAGTGTGGTCATATGCCGGCCTCAGTGTTATAGCTGATTGCAGTTAAATAAAATTGAAATTAAGATTAGTATTAATTTTTTGTATATAGGTATCACTCAATGACATATGGTATGGACAATCTGAGAAGAAATGGTATTAATCCTCAATTTCTTGCCTTTTACAGGATAGGCAAATGCGTTGTTTTCTTTCAATATTGGTATAACGCCCCCTTTCAATTGCTAGAGAATGGGCACTGAGTTTAAATTTACTGAAAACTGATCTGTCATTTTTAATTTACATATATCGATATACGGGGGCCTTTTTCCAATTTTTTTTAGTCTTAAAAAGAAATTTAGTTTTTCACATTTAAGAATAGAACAGTTCATATCTGATAAGCCTGGTCAACGATTCTTTGTTGGATAGTATTTATATAATATTCTATATTAATGGAGTCAAAAGTAAGATGGCCAAATCCTAATTTATTTAACCAGTCTTTTACAATGTTAACCCATTTACTTGTTTTCTCAGCATTGTTATATATTTTATAGACTATAATGCATTAGGTGAGTTTACAATGTGGTTTAGAAATTTTATAGCTGAAAGCGGAATTTTTAAGTGCAAAGGAGTTCTGTTTGCCTCAGCTAGACAAGCTACATTTGTTGTTTTGCACTATACCCCTAAAATTTCCTTAATAAGTTTTATATGTAAATGTTCAAATGGATCTGAATCTTTGAATGAGAAATACATATAATAGTTTACGTTGAACAGACTTTTTGGACAGTGGCACTCGCTTCACTTGAAAAATCACGGTCACAAGTTATGCCCACTAAAAGAAATTGCAAGCTCGCCCCACTGTAATTTGAAATATTTAATAATTTTTGCATACTTCCTTATTTCAAATTAACGCGCTCCAATGAAGAAAACACTGAAAAACTGCTTGGAAATTTCTGAACGGAATAAACATATATATTGTGATGGAATCGGCGCTAGCTTCTTCAATCTAGTAAATAAAAAATTGTTTTTCGAAGAAGACTTGGCTTATATCTAATAACTATTAGTAAATAGTTGTAAATAACCGACGATAATGTGACATAGTTTAAAATAACTTTGGTAGCAACTTTGAACCCAAATGATCGGTAAAGATTTTTAATGAAGTAAAATGGAATCCTATATAATCCTTCCCGCTATTATTTAGATTCAGTTTTCACCTAATAATTTACTTTATGTGTAAAAGAGGGACGAAAGATACCAGAGGGACAGTCAAACTCATAGATCGAAAACAAACTGACAACGCCATGGCCAAAAATAAAAAGACAAACAGACAAATAATAGTATTGATGACACAACATAGAAAACTAAAGACTAAGCAACACGAACCCCACCAAAAACTGGAGGTGATCTCAGGTGCTCCGGAAGGGTAAGCAGATCCTGCTCCACATGTGGCACCCGTCGTGTTGCTTATGTTATTACAAATCCGGTAAATAGTCTAATTAGGTAGGTCACATTCGTGAAAAGGGAAGGGTATTGTAGTTACGACATAAGGAACATATCCGATATCATCTGTGAAACGGTTATTCCATAACGGTCAACCAACTCGTGATGGCGTCCGTAAAATTTACGAAGGGATGATTTCAACTTCACCATTTGGAACTCTTGGTTTAATAGCTTCCTTGTGATCAGCAATCCTCTATCAAGGAAATCATGATAGGAAATACAAGCCCGGGAATATCGTTTCAATTGGGAGATATATACTCCGTATGCAGGCGCTGCTGGAATGTTGCTACATAGAAATGGAAAGTTCACAATTGGGTAGCTGAAATCATCTCTTTTGTCGTAAAGTTTTGTTTTCAACCGACCCTCATTGTCAATTTCTAGATGTAAGTCAAGATATGAGGCAGACTTAACTGTATCTGTAGTATCCTTTATCTCTAGTTCGATGGGATTGATTCGTTCAACATAGTCACCAAATTTTGTATTATTTAGTGAGTGTAACTTTTCATGGTATTTTTGTTGATGTTTAAATTTGTGTTTTCCCTCATCATAACAGTCCCTTTTACGTGACGAATAAAGGGAAATGCGGGTAATGCACAAAAGAGACGTCCTAGGTTAGGGTAGGGTTTGGCACCAGCAAAATTGTTTAAACCCGCCACATTCTTTATGTGCCTGTCACAAGTCAGGAACCTGTATTTCAGTGGTTGTCGTTTGTTTCTGTATATTATGTTTGTTTTCGTTCATTGTTTTGTACATAAATCAGGCCGTTAATTTTCTCGTTTGAATTGTTTTACATTTGTCATTTCGGGATCTTTTATATCTGACTATGCGGTATGGGTTTTACTCATTATTGAAGGCAACCTATAGTTGTAAACTTCTATGTCATTTGGTCTCTGGTGGAGAGTTGTCTCATTGGCAATCTTACCTCATCTTCTTATATGTATGTTTACAAAATAACGTAACAGATGGTTAGTTGCTTGATTCTTGTTTGATGAACTTTTAGTGGCAAATATGTCATCCAACCAAAATACATGTACTTGTCAACATCTGGAGTCTTCAACGATAAACAACAACCGCCAGAGTCTAGACAAATTGTTTATTTGACCAGAGACTCTCAAAGATCTCCATTAAACACACACAAAATTCTTAAAGGGAAGAAAAACACTAAAATATATAATCTACTAATAGTAGGGTGCCCAGTGTCCACAAATCCCTCTAGTTAACGAGTTTAAGTAAAACACACGGCTAATTTTGTGTTGCATATTATAGGAAAATCATTATATTTTACAATCATGAATGTCGTCCTAAGTTCCCGTGGTTACGATTTTCTAAATTTCGTGCCGGTTGATTTACAGGGTATCCCCAGATACCGTATTGTACGGAGAATCTTTAACATGAAAAATAAAATTATTGCGCTCTTTGTTGGTGGCTGAAATAGTACTTATGATATAGTTTATATGTTAAATATATTATATAACGAACGCGGAAAGTATTTAAGTGATTTTAGTATAATTATTTCAGCACTTTAGTAACACTAAAATTTTACCCGAAATTTACCATATTTTCATCGAAAGCAAAATTATTGCGTGTATCATCACGATTTTTTTTTTTTGCTTTGATTAAAGCAATAAGACACAGTATATGTGTGTGCTAAATTTCATGTGTAATAAAAAGCCGTTTTAAAGAAATTAGCAATTAAATACACAAATTAAAGTCAACTTTTTGGCATCGATTAAAGACGGATTATCTTGTGCCGTTATTGCATTAATCATTTTGCTGCTTACACTATTAGGTCATTAACAAGGACAGTGGTCACTCAATACATTTCTCATTTTTCTAGTTGTGTGTTTATTTATTTGTTTTGAATGTCCAGTTAACTTTGTAGATTGTTATTTTCTTCGGAGGAATACGTTTTGTACCTGTTTTTCAAAACTTTAAACTTTTTATTGAATAGATTTTTTTTGTTTTTATTGTAGTATAAAATCGGTCGGTTTTGTTTCTCACCAGGAATATATGGCGCATCAAATCTATACGTTATGGTCTTGCGTGATATTTTCGACCTAAACCACCCTCGGTGTGAACGACAACAAAAATGTACAACCGTGCTATAAATTATACACCAACAGACACAACCGTAGTAATTTCAAAGCTGAATTGGCAATAATATTGTCCGAGCAAACCACTGAAGCCAAAGAATTATATGTGCCAAGCATGCATGTTCAATCTATATACCATGTTTCGAATTGGAAGGGTTTTTTTTCTGTAAAAATAATACAATTAAGAAAAGATCGGTATTTAAAATTATATAATCAGCTATAAAAGGCCCCACAAGACAAATTGTGAAACAATCCAAACGAAAAACAAGATAACGGTCTCATTTATGTGAACAACAAAAAACAGATACAACAGACAGCGACCAACGACAATCACTGAATTGCAAGCTCCTCATTTTGGACAGACACATACATATTTTGGAGGGGGTTAAACATGTTTGTGATGCTTCGACCTTCCCCGTACCTGGACAATGGTATAACAGCACAACATAAGAACAATCTGAAAAAACCAAGCATGCAGGAAATGGCTTGACTCATCAAATTGGCATGAAGCACAAAAACAACTTACATGAAGACAAAAGACACAAGGTACCGATCTAAAAGTGCTCGCCGTTAGGGTACGACCATTTATATTCCGGGTAAAGGGGGCGGGTAGGGCCTGGCGGCAGAAGATTTTTTTCGGATTGACCTTTTTTTCACTTGTTCTTATGCATGCTTATTTTTTTCCGTGGTTTGCTGTGCGAAATTTTTTTTCTCACTTTTTTACATACTCGTATCCTCAACTATTATGCATTTCACGTTGCAGAGTATTTATTTTCATCCTGCCTTGTGCA